GCCTGGGATCTGTATAATGTCCTCCCTATTAATATACATCATCTTAGCATGTGGTGGAGTCGATTGTATGCACATGCAGTGAGTTGGGGTGAAGTTGGAAGGCTTGGGTTTTGTAAATATCCCCTTAACGTCTGTCCAGTACTCCGGGTACTTGTACCATCTTGGAGGAATCATTCCAGTTTCACTGGCCCCCAGTGTAATTTAAAATTATAGAAACTGGTATGATATTAATTAACAATACCTGGTTATATATTACAATTGATTTATAAAAATAAAATAAATATTCACTTATCAACCTATTTCAATGAAATTGGTTAAATAAAAGAGGGGGAAACAAGTAATAAAAACATTTTGCAAAAGTTAAGTATGATGTAGGGATGCCAATACCAAAAAGTACAGAAATAAGGTAGGGAGGAATGAGTAAACAAAAAACATACAAAAATTCCTACATAAGTAGCCAGTAAGTACTTAGTCAGTTTTACAAGCTTATGGTTATTAACCACTGTAAGACTGTATAGTACTATTCAGTTTAAATGCTTTTAATCAAACCTGAATACATGCAACTGGCAAGAAGTCAATATTTAGTTGTAGTTAAAAGTTGTTCTTGGAAAGATTTGGCTACTTTCATTATCTTGTTTCTTTCCTTTTGGGCATTTCCATCTCGACATCATACTTAATTTTTTTTTTTTACTTTATAGGAATTTATTCATTACTAAGTTCAAATATTCCACTGAAATTTAGTCATATCCAGAAACACTTTAAAATCCTACACCACTGTATCATCACCTCCCTTAGAGGTCTACTACAGAACTTCACTTTTTTTATATGTTTGTTTCCTTATTCACTTGAAACATATTTATTGTTATGATTGAATCGTTTGTTTGTTTGTGTTAAGCTGTAACTTAAGCATAAAGATATAACTGACTACTTGCGGAATCTAAACTCAAATTTTAGCTTTATAAACACTTAAGCTTACCATTAAGCCACTGGGGGATTGATTCGATGAAGCTATATTGATATAGTTATTTTATGGACTCCATATTAGTAGTACTATAATGAACGTTTTATTCTACACTAAGAAAATAATCAAATACCAGGATTCTTAACCAAAGCATTTATTATAATGTTCACAAATTGAACTGATTTAAACTTACAGTTCGAAAATGCCGGAACAGGACTTTTACAAACGACACAAAAAATTCAAACGTTTGACTCAACAGTATAACATAGACACTAGAAATAATAACTAGAAAGAAAAATCTAACTTTATAAGTCATCACAAAGTCTTCTTAATTAATAATACAACACTTATAAGCTCTGATTTATTATAACTCAACACTTTTATGCACTGTCTGAGTTTAAAGCAATATCCAATCTACAGCTTACGTCCCTGAGTGCGTTATCTAAACAGACCTCAGTTCTTTTTTTATACAAACTGTTACTACATCGGAAGTCATGTGACGCTGGTAACACGTGATGAATTTCTCGAATGATCATGAATTATCGGGGAAGACCGAGTTTGTTCGAGAATCCCTCTTTTTTTTTAGTATATAAGCCTGGCAGAAAAAGCCTGCAGGATTGAATGAAGAGAGTTCTGGGTAATTTACGATTCTGTTTCGAGCTAGTGTGTGTTTTGTTTTCGAGATTGTGAATCGCTGTGATTTATAGCTTATATTATAAAAGTAGTTAACTTTAAAGTCATGAGAAACGTTCCAATTGTGAAATTACTGTGTGCTAAAAGTTTGTATCGAGAAAGAATAAACTGGTTTAACCAAGAAAAGACTTGTATCGCTGAAGTTCCTCGGAAAGAATTTCTACCGGAAATTAACAAACAAGCAGATACGTAACAATACTTTATTTGCCACCAAACGTCGAGATTTTAACTCATCGCAGGACTATTATTGGCTATTGACAAAACATCTGATCAAGTTATTTACATAAAAGTAACTAGAGAATATTGAGGAAACTAAGTCTTTGATGAATTTTAATAGAATCTTGATTAACCATTCATGAGCATCAGGAGTTACCTATTTAAGACTTATCTTTCTTCTAGTTCCCAGATATCCGATTGATAGCCAGAAGTAAGAAGTGTATAGTCCAAATAATGTCTCTATTGCCACATAGCGAATCGTATAATATATTAATGATACATAAACTTTAGGAGTATATTGTGAATCGTTCACACTACTTTGGTGCTCCTATTTAAAAATGCCATTTTTATAGCTTTTCCATCTCAGGTAGCATGACATAAATTATTTAAGATGTCGGATACCCACTGTTGTCAATTGCATTAAAATGTACCACCCCTCTCAATGGTAATGGGCCCAGCATGGCCAGGTGGCTAGTGTGCTTGACTCGTAATCTGCGGGTCACGGGTTCAATCCCCGTCACACCAAACATGCTCGCTTTTTCAGCCGTGGGGGCGTTATAATGTGATGGTCAATCCCACTATTCATTGGTAAAAGAGTGGCCCAAGAGTTGGCGGTGGGTGGTGCTGACTAGCTGCCTTCCCTCTAGTCTTACACTGCTAAATTATGGATGGCTAGCGCATATAGCCCGCATGTAGCTTTGCGCAAAATTCAAAAAACAAACAAACAAACAAACTAGAAGATCAGTATTTTGATTCACTTCTGTGTACATTCTACAACGTTTTATCTGGATCGGAATCAGCAAGGGTACCAGGGAGGCCGGACCATGTCTCATTGCCTCCTTCCCCCCTGTTAAGAAAATCTGGAGCTTTATATCTCTTCTCCCTATATATTCAAAGAAAAATGTAAAAATTTATATATTGTTATGTCTCTGGTTGTTTGTTAATTTCCCATAAAAAAATTTCCCAAGAACTTCAGCGATACAAGTCCTTTCTTAAATAA